AATTCTTAACCATTTCTACGAAAAGTTTTTACCTTCCCCCATATAAAATTCATGGAAACTATGAGCGCTTTGAGCGAACTCTAAATTTTTTATGATTTAAAAAAAACAAGCGTATATTTTTTTCGATACAGAATATTTCTCAGGGGTAAGGGCATTAAAATTCCGCCTTAACTTTCCTTGGGCTCCAACACCCAACATCTTCCTGTATAGCTTGAAACACGAAGATATAAACTGGAAAGCGAATGGACTTTTTTTTGTCCGGAGGCACGCCCTATACGACTTTATTATCCGATACGGATCCGCTACTATATAACCGAATAGAGTCAACCGCTCTCGGAACTTTCTGGGTCCTTTGCTCTCTGCTAGAGACTTCTACTTCGAACACTTTTCGAACGTTTTTATTGGCGAGTGGTTATTTTTTCGTCAAGTGAAGGTGCTAAGTACCACAAAAATTCTTTCTTCAGCTGGATCACTTTCGTGGTCTTACCGGGACAATTTTGTATTCGCATAACGTCTATCGGCAATACGTTTAGCAGCACGCTCATTGGTTTCGTGGGTGTAATTGCAGTCCGCCACTGATCCAAAGTAGAGTTGTTCTTTGCGTCTTTTGTGGTGGAAGGGTGTTTGGTTTCTTAGCAAAAATAACCCGCCTGACGTACACTCACTATAATAGTGTTGGGCTGTTTCGATTGCAAGGGATTCTGCAGCTTTCCGCAATGTGTTTAGTATTCAGTTTGGCTTCCTATCGGGTATTCGTTAATCATATGTATGTAATGGCACAGTGTTTGTAGAAAATTTCCACTTATGGCTCATCCATATCCGTAAGCTTTCAGCTTTTGGGATGAACCGCTAATGAATCTGCTCGCCGATACTCATCATAGATAAGCTTGTACTTCCTTGCATCTTGGAATTTGGTCGACGACCAGATCCGTCTGCGCTGACGTTTTTGATGAGCGCATGATGTTGTTGAAAGCGAGCTAGAGTTTCATGTTTCCGAGGACTAAACTTTGGCTTGAGCGTACAGTGTTTTTGCAAGCTTATCTGCAACCGCCTACCTTATGCAGATCTCTGTAAGACTCTAAATAATTAATTGAAAGTACGATCAATTTATCTGGCTGCAGCACTTAAGCTTGATATGCGATATATTTCCAACTTTGAACATGAAAGCAAATCTGGACTTTGTCCATCTATTGGATATATTGTTCAGAGTAAGAACAAGTGGAATTCTTACATGCAATTTTTTCAGACCTCACTTCCCTTATTGCTACATTTAAATTGGTGCTACCCCGTTGGCTATAGAATCTACTATAACTTTAAAGTTCCAATAGGTCAGGCTATCTTCTCATGGAAGAGAATTTCTTTTATTATGTTTAAAGTTCATAAAGTGCTGCTCCAAGGTTTTCCGCCTCGTATTTGTCCGCGTGCCATCGCAACCCTGTAGGCATCCTGGGACTCTTTGGAAATCCGGATAGTACCTTACTTGACTCCGGCACGCATTTCACGTTGCTAATTTCTTCGTGAGGTTCTTAACGCTTTTCTTAAGCTATTTTTATCGCTCGCTAGGATCTATTTGTAAGCTTTGTGTTTTTTTATAAATTTTTGAATCTTATTTTCTTAATTGTTTTCATTAAATTTTTAGATCTTCTTTTAAGGCTGTCTGCAATTTTAAAGAAAAACTAAAAATGGAGAATAAGAAATGGAAAAGAAATTCTCTCTATCAGAACTTCTTAAATCAGTGTGTAGCTTTTAAGAAAAAAATGCTCGTATATTTATCGATGGTCCTGTGCAATAACGACACAATTCAAAATTCAAAAAATAAAAACTGTTACTACTGTTAAGTGGCTCATGCCTCCTCCTTACTTTTGTAATCCTCACTGCTTACCTTAGTAAGGGATGGAAATTAATTAGGACAAAAATTAGAGACAACACCAACTTAAGTAGTAACACTTTTTGTTTTTTGAATTTTGAATTGCGTCGTTATTGTACAGGACCATCGTTATTTCTTCAAGAAAACTTACAGCAACCGCAAAGTACTTTTCCTAGTAACAGAAATAATGAAACAATTTCTTGTAAGTTTTCTTGAGAACTGCATACGGCCCTTTAAGAAGTAAAAAACATATATTTTTTGCGTTTCATTTTTTAAAAGTTAATACATGAAGTATTTCTTCTTTTTTAAATTATATTTTTAACCGACTTCACAAAAAGGAGGAGGTTATCAATTCGTCGCAATATATATATATATTTTATGTATGTTGCCGCATAACTTTGGACCACGTTTACCGATTTCAATAATTCTTTTTTTAGAGGAAAGATGCTACCGGACAGGTGGTTCCATATTAAGTTGGTTTAAATCCGATCGTCGTATGAAGAAACTAACGATAATCTGAAATTTTGATATGAGAATTGAAGTCGGTTTCGTGTTTTGCTTAAAAATTAATTTAATTTAATTTTCCTTTTTATATTAAAAAAATGTAAACCTATTTAGTATTTGGCTTTGTTAGTCTAAGTGGCTCCACCGAAGCTCCCTCTTTTTCTGCCGTGACCCAAGGCTCTACTGGGATTGATTGCCGCATCTCGCATATTTCCAAAGCAAACAAACGAAATGAAATTTCCTGTTTTCAAAACAAACAAAATCTAAAATTAAAATTTGCAAATAATACTTTTCATTTTACAAAACGAGTTCATCACAGTTCCTTACTTACACACAGCAGTTTCCTTTTGCAAACCACAATCACTTCCATGGTTCAATATTAAGAAACTTTCGATTTTATTTGTAGTGTTATTCATCACAGATCATCACAGTTCGTAGTTGTACCTTCCCGAACCAATGTTGTACCTTTTCCACAAAAAGTGTGTTGTAATTTCGAAAATTTAGAATTCACTTAACTGTAACAAAAAACTCTTTTGCTATTATTTGATTTGCGAAAAAATATATTTTCATATTTTCTGCATTCTCTTCACAGACTCTAAAAAAATGCAACATTTTCTAAATCACAACATATCGAAAACATATCTGTAGTACCAAATGCAGGCAAACGGCCTCATAGCAAAATACGTACAACAACTATATAGAAAATTGAGCATAGAAACAGGACATCAAAGAGACAAAAATCAAATCATACAAAACTCTACAAAGCTTCTGTATTTGTTTTCCAACTACTTACTTAATTTTACACATTTACAAGCACACTTTGTAGTTTATATGCAATCACATTGCCACAATGTTTACCAAAAGCAACAGTACCAAAATTCAAACATATGTACATTTGTATGCAGCCTTCAATATGTTCACATACATACATACATACATACATATGTATGCACATAAATATAAATTAGTTCAAATGAAAACCAATCAACCAATCAATCTCAGCCAACAATCATTTGTATTGAATGAATAAACAAGTACACAAGAAAAGAAAGTAAAGTACATACATACATATATGCCAATCACAAAAACTGATATAAATGCATACAAATCACACACACACATACAACTATACAATACATATCTGCACTCACTTTAATATGTAACAGTGTTTCATATGTGAAATGAGTGTGAAATAAAAATGTGACTCTTCCTTCCTCCCACCCTGCAGGTATCATCTACCATGGAGCACAATCAAGCACATCCTCAGATCTCTCACCAATGTCCGAACAAAAATCATTGCCACGTCGCGGTCGTTCAAGGTACCATCATCAACAATATCAGTTTTCCACAAATACAACACCGCGCCATCATAACAGTAGCAAAAACAACAACATGAACACCACATCCGCAAATAATTCGACAAAGATACTATCACCACGCGGTGTTTGTGGTAGTGCTGGTGTGGGTGGTGGTGGTGGTGTCGGTGGTGGTGGCGTTGGTGGTGTTGGCAGTATGGGTGGTAGTGGTACTGGTGGTGGTGGTGGTGGTGGTGGCAATCTGAAATCCATTTCAAGCACTTTCAAATCACAAGACTCCATACAATGCCATATACCCACGCTGGTGAAGTCACCATCTGTAACACAACAACAACATCAGCAACAACTACAAAAACATCAACATCAACTACAACTACAACTACAAAAAAGCAATGTCACCACCAATGCAACCACAAATAGTTTTAATAGTACTAACATTAGTAGTTGTAGCAGTAGCATCGCCACCTCCAATAAAAATAAACTATCACAGCAACAACCCCTATTGATAACACCCAAATTAGCACATCATCCACAACATCACAATTTGCTCGGCGCCCCACATCCCACAACTCAACTCAGTCAACCTGATTCAACCACAGACCTCTTAGACAGTAGTTGTAATAATCCCATTGCATCTGTTGGCCCCGTCACTTGCATGCCATCATCACAATTCCGACCCATACCCCATAAAACGGTGCCCGCCTCGGTGGCGAATGCAAATGTAAGTGGCGACAGTGTTGGCACCATACTCAATCCATCTACTGCTCCCTTGTCGTCGAAATTCTTTTCGGCAACAACACTGCCCAAATAGGATACGGCCAATGGGGGTGGTATAGACCTCGATAGGGGTAGCCTGATGAGTAGTTTGGGCTATGATAGTGAAATATCCTGCACCTATATGGATCCCATAGACCAAACATGAGATTAGTGGATGGAGGGGTTGGAGGGCGTGGAGGGTGTCGAACTTAAAGTGGACTTGTATTAAATGGGAATACGCGCGTGTCTTTGGTTTGGTAGATTAGTAGATATGATGTAGATAGATTTACTTTTATTGTATGTGATGGGGTATGTTTTGGGTGAAAAGAAAATATGCAGTCAGATTGACCAAGCATTAAGATGGGATAGATTAAGCCTAATAACATGACCATGCTTTATATAATGTGTTCTATAAGTAGTAAGATTTAAAGTACTATGACACTACTGGGATAAGTTTTTTTTTTGTTTTTAAAGGATTCCGGTTTTAAAAAAGCGGTATGATGTGTATGTGTGTGTGTGAATGTGAAACTTACTAATTTATTTTATACAAATTCAAAAGAGAAATGGTTTTAGTAATAGTCAGCTCTTCTCCGCGATTAAGTAAAACAAACACTGTTCGGTGTCAATCAAGTTGGATTTTATCTCTGCGAAGTTCTACTTAAACTCAAGTCCACACGTTTTATGGGCACCTTTAATAGCGTGTTGATATTCAGTCCTCGGGTTGGATATAGTGTCGTTCCACAAAAACTCGAAAATGTTTGAACTAAGCATGTTTGGGGACAATCTGGCCTTTAGCTTAACTTTAGAAATTTTAGGGAAGCGATAATAGTTTAGGAAAATCATCCCTGTATAGGAACTTCCAGATAGCAACAACAATTTGAAAGCTTGAAACAGCTTCGCTCGCCTCGGCGCCGCTTTTTAAGGAACAGCTTTCAGCGAGCTTTCAGGCCAACTCAGATACATAAGTGCTTTACAACGCATCGAGCCCTTCCTTGACAGAAATGTGTTTATTTTTGTTTTTAAGTATTTTTTCAAAAACTATGAAAAATGTGTTCCCTTTCAATAAAAATTTCGGTTTGTTAATATTAAACTTATGAAGTGAAGTTTTTTTATTTTCTTACTTTAAGAACATCTGAGATAGGTTTAAGCCCTTTTGTAAATAAATTGAAAGTTAAAAAATTAATAATTTTGAATTTTTTTGTAAAGCTTCCGTACAGAATTACCTAAATGACAAAAAAATTAAGTAATTAGTTTTTAAAAAGCGTTGACTGTCCTTATGAATGGTTTTGTATAAATTTTCGACATACCGAACTCCAATCCAGTAGTTAGCTTGAGCGCCTAAGTGAATTCTGCCAATCTTCTAGTTTTGGTAGTGTGGAGGTTTTTCAGTTGGTCTATGTATAAATCTTACTTAATTACCGCTTGGGAAGCTATATTTTTAAATTCATGTTCACCATTTTACGGTCATATTACTACTTACTTAGTACTTCACGTTCATACTCACCTAAGCGCATTGGTTTTATACTCGCCAATAGTGTTTACGTTATTAAGAAAACATACGTATGTACAAGTAAAAGATTAACCCCAAGCCTTAGAAATTAACAGCAACAACAACGATGTCACAAATTTATAAGGTCATATGTAGTAGCACTTAAAGCTTGATTAGTAATTTTTAATAAATAACGGTAACAAGCAAATTAAATAAAACAAACACACATTCACACAAACACACACATACCTATATATGAAGGTTACATTTGTAACTTTGCTTGCTGCATGAGACCGAATGTAATAGTATGTAATCCCCTAAAATTTTCCTCCTTCAACTAACATGCACTTACCAACAACAACAACAACAACAACTACAACGATATAACAAAACGACGAATAAAAAAAACACACAAAAAAACTGCTGTCAACAGAGCTGGCGGCATACGAACCCTGCATCCGTTGCAGTTGCAGGCTGAATGCACCGTAATGCCCAGCAGTGGCTTCCATCAGTTGCCCATCGAAACGGAGCGCATTGAGTTGTCCGAGGTGGAGTGCGATGTGGACACTTTAAAGAAACTCAAGTTGGGTATGCGCTCGACATTGTGGTCGAGACCGTCGTCGACTACTTCACAGCTGCAACAGCCCAACAACAACAACAAACAACAGCAAGATACGCGCTGTCCACCCCAACAATCACAAAAGGGGCAACCACAAACGCAGTCACATCCGCAACAGCACAGCAACAACAGCCGGCGCGACAACAACACACTCGCCTGCACCATCACAACAAAAATTGTTGAGTGAAAAATCTGATTATTCGATATCAGTGTGAGATTAGATGTTGCAGCAGTTTTAAAAGTGTCGTGGCAAGTTATACGTAAGCTGCCACACATAGATAAACGGGGTTTGCTGCTCTATTAACGGTAAACGAATTATATAGTTTAGTGAAAATGAGTGTAAATTGTTGGCGTTTAGTGAATCTATTTTGTGGGGATACTTAGTTTTGAGTCGAGATAAGTATGAACAAGCGATAGTTTATTTCTAGAGTATGTATCTTGAAGGTGAGAATGTGAATGTTGGTGTTGTTGTTTTATATAACCTACAAATAGTGCATACCCTCAAGCTCCCATGTGGCCAACAAACCTAACTTACTTAGATTGAACCCTGCCCCCCACAAAATTACTTGCCCTCTACTTTGTTTTTATGTATGTATATCAACCTTCCGCATACATATTTACTCACAATGGAATACAGATGAATTTAAACTTTTGGACAATCAATCAAAATTTGTACGAGACTTAAAAGGCAAACATACACACGCATCACACACCTAATCCAATCCCATTTATTAGTACTTAACTTATGTATAATAAAAATATTTCATCCACTTATAAATGCATTAAATAATATATATAAGTTTACTTTGTGCATGCCAACTTCATTCCCAAACTCCATGAATGCTAAACCAGACTCTCTAAACCACTATTTCCCCACCACCTACCCAAAATTTATTGCTAGTTGTATGTACTCCGATGTTAAATTACTACTAAGTTAACGAACAAAATCAACCCAAGGTTGTATATGGGTACATATGTATGTGTGTAAACTCGAAGGTACATATTTTTATGCATCTTTGTATGTAAATTTTTTATATAAATTTAAAACATTAATAAAGAAAGGTAAGTTTTCATAATGGTCTAGAGGGTGTGAAAAAAAAACTATTAAAATAAGTTTAAACTACTATCAAATGAATCCGAAAATATCTTTGATTGTATATAAATAACTGTAAACTATATGTATTTTCAGTGTAAATTGTTAAAATGTTTCAATGGTTTCGGAAAAAAGTTGGCTTTGAACTTACCAAATATTATATATGTACAATGCTTTCAGTTACATGCATAGGTAAATATAATAGTTCCGATGTACATAGCTTTAAGTTTAGTGAAATTGGGCGTATTACTAAAATGTCTTGTTTGTAAAAGAGTAAAAAAAAAAACAAATTTAAATATACGAATATGTGAATATTTAATATTTTGAGAAATGTGCCATAAACACGGTGACCATATTTGTGGCAGCCGAATACGGAACTAAAAAGGATTTACATCATTTTTTAAAAAAACTAAATTTCTCAGTAGTAACACAACTCGTGCTTCAAAATCATTTGATATTTTAGGATAAATTTGAAGGGATCCATTTCCCTTCCGCACTCTAGGAAGAACCTCACCTAAACTTGTTTTTGTAGTTTTCCCCGTTGCTTTTCTTGGCATGCAATCAGCATTAGTCTTCTGTGGCGTAGTTTCCTCTGATAAGTAGCCTCTGTACTCAAAATTTTGAAATTTCCCAGCAATTGGCTCCATTGCTTTCCCTATATACACAGTATCACTGATGGATTCATCAACACTTTTCAGAGTTTATTTTTATAAACTCTCGAACATTTTAAATAATCATGAACACCTATTCAGTTTTCCTCATATTTTGTGTAAAATTATAGTTTCAGAAATTATCTATTGTGCTGGGTTCCCAGGGTTAAAAACAATAACTTTTGATTCATATACATGACATTTTTTGCGTCCTCTATTAAATAAATAAATTACCAGGACAATTGGCGAAAAAATAGGACTGTCCCGATCAATTCAGAACGGATGTTTACCATTAGGGATGAAATGATACCATTCAAGTATCGATAAAGCATTTAAGCTTTTAAAGCTTTTGAGATGGGCAATTCAGGAAAAATAGTCTCGTTTAGTTGAATAATTACCATGACCTTTAAAATGCCTTTCAAAAATAGGTGGTTTAAAATATTTTCCCTTTTTTTGGCCTGAAACCAGTACACAATGAAATGAAGAAATACATTTCCTTTGTAACAAAAATCGAAAAAAGCATTTAATTTTAAAAAGTTTTTTACAACTATAAAAGCAGGTAAAAAAAGATAAAAAATCAAAAATGTTACTTTTGAGTCATTTTAAAGGTCTGATTAAATGAAAAATTACCTTGATCTTAAGATAAAGGAAAGAACTGTGTTCAATGAACTTAAAAAAATATATATTTCAAATGGATTTTTTGGTTTTTGCTACCGTGGAAATGAATTCCCTGATGCAAAAACAGGAAAAATATCTGTTAAAAAAGTTCATTGCATACTGGTTCCAGGAAAAAAACACCTTCAATATTTGAAGGTCGCTGGCGTTTAAGCAGTCATAAAGCACTGGCCGATTCATATTATTACTGCGCTAATTGTATACAGCTCCTGTTAGATACCCTAGTGGTGTACTAAGTGTCATCCTAGTGTTTCGTACTTAAGTTCGCAAGGCCTCAGGAGCTATGTCCCCATCTTGGTTTTGCCATTAATATATTAAGTAGATCCGAAGTCTTCGTGATGTTATAATCGGACCAGAGTTCCCTTGATATCATGTAAGTCCGTACATCGAACCACCAATTCGCGCTTGTAGATTCATTTCCCTTTAGATTATTCCAAAAGGGCATTTCGGTGCCGCCGCTTATTATTTTTCTAAATGTGCAAAATAATCAGCTTTCTCATTGCCTCCGACGTTCCTACGTTTGTGCGGGAACCCAGAAAAGATAGACGATAATTTTCTTGAACACTGAGCGTAATTCTATTTTGTATTTATTGACCAGCTTAAATTTGGTAACCGAAAATTACTTTACATTTTTTAAAGCTACAAATGTGTCATCAACTTCCTTTTAGTGATGCTTTTATCCTATCCCAGACGTAAGGACTGAGCGACGCAAGATTTCCGCTCCTACAAAGCAGTCCAAGGTACGGCGGTGTAGAGAGAGTCACGCATTTTTGTCGGCTACCACTCGGTTTCTTCTAGAGCCTCGTTTTTGCTAAATGTACAGACGGCCTGTTTTGCCAACATTTTTGGAAGCTGTTTGAAGATGAGATGAATACGTCAAGATGTTCAGTATGCAGCATATGAATTAAAAAAAAAACAAGTGAACAAGTTTTTTCCTAGACACTTATCTTATAATTCTACAGCCTTGCTTTTCTTCTTAGTACTAGGGACACGAATTTCGATACGATACGATACCAGATCGATACTTTTGTCATTTGATGTAGATATTTTTTACTCCAAACTTTTATAACGATATTTTTGGGATCGCGTATATGGACCTCAGTATCGTTTCGAATTTCCGAACAAAATAGAGAAAAAGTTCCACACGTGTCTGAATGGGGACTTACAAAAATAATGTGATTATCAATTCTTCCCGATATAAATTGGGCTTTAAAAACAAAAAATTTTTACCATCGTTAGGATTGCATGTGGCGAGATTGAACACGCTGTCTCGGTGTTTTAAGACAACACCTCAATCTCTACGTGTAAAAATAATAGATTGCGCTTAAAAAATATGTTAGTATTTGGCCGAGCTTCTCTTCCGATTTGTTGCGTGCGCCTTGATGTTGTGTCACAAAGGGCGTTTTTATGAGCAGCTGTTTTTCATGGCAGAAATACGCTTGGAGTTTCTAATCACTACACTATTACGCCTACAAACGAAACCAATATTCAGATATTTCCTTGTTTTTTGGATTTTGGTATCGATATTTGGGATATCAGTCTTTTTATTCCGATATTAATGGGTACCCGATATTTTTCCAGCCGATACTTTAAATGAGTAGCCATATCGATACTTTCGGTTCGATATGGTGTCCCTATCGACAATATTCCAGTATTGTCACTGTCGCTTTCAAAAAATTGCCACAGTTGCCTACAGGCATCTATGAAACAGGAAAAATGTCGTCGAAAATTCTGGCTCTGGAATTTTTCGGAAAAATCGATAATTGTCGCACCTGTCCCTTTTATGAAATAGGCTGCGGCTCGCAATAGGTTTTGGTATTTAAACCTGCTATTTTATGTTGGGAATTTGGTAACGATATTTTGAGTATCGAGTCTTTGTGTTTCGACATTAATGGGTACCCGATTTTTTTACAGCGATTCTTTAAATGAGTACCATATCGGCTGATATCGTGTCCCTATTTAGTACTACGCAAAATGATTCTGAGAAGCTATGGAACTTTGTACATAGCTTGCCTGAAATGTTTTCATCCTTCGTTAGTGTGGTCAAAATTTCATTTGCTTTTTCGTGATCCAGTAATCTTTTCCATGAACCGGAACTTTTTTTTTCGATCAATATGTATTTAGGTCGGCTTTAAACCATTTAACAGCCCGTACGCTTTTTTGTGGTAACACTCACCTCTCAGGTAATTTATTTAAAAGTCCAATAGGGTTGCCTCTGAAAAATCGAAATTATATTTTCTCGCAATTCCAATACTCGCATTAAATAAATTTCTAATATAAAGAGAGAACATCATTATTTAGTATGATACAAAAATCTAACTTGAATATTTCAGCGATGCAATAAGGTACATTTTATGAAGTATGACGAACAATTTACTTCGGCGCAGTCCCTAGTTTCACTGAATCTTTGATTTTTTTTATTTGTAAGGGGTTAGTTGAAAACTTAAGAACCTCCCATTGTACTCAGTTGTAACCCATACGAAACAATTAAAGTTATTTTCGCACAATTCTTTTTTTCGGAAACTTAATAAGGGAGGCTGATATTTTCTTAGATTTCAGATCAGGCCGTAACTAACATAACTACTTCTGTAAAATGACCAACTGCATAAAAAAAAAATACCACTATTTTTACCCATAACCAAGCAGTTATGGGCCCAGTAACATTTTCTTTGAGTAACTGACAAGTACTAACTTGAAATAGCGCGGCTGATCGAATCGAATTTACCCAACTCAATCAATTTTATTTAAAAGAGTTTAGCGGAAGTTTTATCTTTTAGATACAATGAAACGGATACATTCTGTCAACCTATATAAATATATTTTTAAATGGAATACTTCAAAGCCAACTTTTTATATTTACTCATAAAAAAAGAGTTTAATAAATTTACAAATATTGTAGATATGCATTAATTTGAATAATCAGATTAATAAGTTATCCAAAAATCTGTAAAATACTTAATTATAGCAGAAACTTTGAATATTATTTGAAATAATTACAACTGTCTGATTAAGAAACGCAATAGCTGAAGATGTAAACACTTTTGCAATAATTGATTACATGGGGCAGACTAATATTTTTAAATATTAAGTAACACCGGATTTCCACTAGGCGTTGAATCACAAAAAGTCAATGCCAAACGATATTAAATACAAAAGTCTTTAAGTCTGCCGCCACATGCCACCTCATTTTGTCATTTCAATGCGTAGCGGAAACTCATGTTTATAACAACGATATTACTGGCAACTATAGAATTATACTGCTATTTACATAGAAAAAAATTATAATGATTTCAACTACTGTTCGTAGGTTAAAATAGTATTTGATACACTACTACATTTTTTTAGCATAAAAGTATGGAGAGGAATTTCTCTTTAGAAACAGTTGTGGATATGTATGCATGTATATTATTTATTTTTCTATGCTAGGCCATTACGAAAGTGTATTGATATTAATTTTTGTAAATTTGCAGCTAAAGAATTGAGAAAATTAAAAAATGTATACTTTATAATGTACAAAAGCAACTATCATAAATACATACATAAATATGTACACATTTTGTGTGATTAGTATTTTTGTAAGATACGGATGTACACATCTTTGAGCGGAATTACCAATCAAAGCTGATAAAATTTAAGAACAAAAAAAACAGTATTAACATGTTCGCATTTATTTAAAGACGTATTCATGCAAGCCAATGTTTACACTTAAAATTTCGATAAGTACATATTTAGTTTTAAAATTGATTACAAAAATTGTGAAGTTGAATAACGAAACTACGGTGTAAATTTAAAAAAGAGTGCGAACTACAGCGGAACCGCTATGTTTCAGTTGAATGGAAAAAAATACAAAAATTTTAAGAATAAAATGGTTTACTTTTTTTATAAACATTTAATTGTANAACTACAGCGGAACCGCTATGTTTCAGTTGAATGGAAAAAAATACAAAAATTTTAAGAATAAAATGGTTTACTTTTTTTATAAACATTTAATTGTAAAAAAATAAAACATTTCGGAAACCATGTGCCAAATTCAAAATTTATGAAACAAAATACAAATTTAAAATCTAAAATTAAATAGATTTAAGTCAGAAGAAACAGTTTTTAAAAGCAAAATTTTAGGTAGTGAAACAAAAATATGTAATATAATATTTAAAACAAAAAACACTCAGATTACTAAAGTAAAATATGTAGTTTTGTGAGAAAATTTGTATTTTTTAACTAATAATATTTAATAAATTAAGTAAACAAAAACTAACACAAATTATTCAAAAACTTAAAATAGTAATAAATAATCAAAAGTACGAGTATAATGAAGTGACTACTGTGTGCAAAAAAAATTAAAAAAATCTTAAGATCTACTATCTAATTATCAAAATGATTTGTATGAAAAAAGTGGTTATGCTGCTATTCCCGTTATGTATGTTTATATAAGTTTGAAGTTTGAAGTTCGTTTTCAAAATATTTATATAAATTTAAAAGATTCTTAGGTGTGTTGAAGAAGCTTACACAAAACTGCTGATTTTTAATTGCAGCATCAGTGGTGATGGGCGGAATTTCTAAATGACTTGTACGCCTTGGCTAGAAAAAAATAAAATAACGCAATCTGTTCATAGTGCAAGAAAATTATCTTAGGAGGAGGGCTCCAACTCCTGATGCAGAAGAGAGCGACTGTTACCATCTGTTCTCTTTTTTTACTCAACATAAGGCCTCCACGACATCTTCCTCTCTCTCAAATGTCCCAACAGATCAGGATTCCTCGCAAGCACGCGCCTGATTCTGAGTGATACATGGTACCACCTAACGTCATCACAGAAGCATGCAAACTCTATTCAATTTCAATTGGTTTGTGTAGCGCGTTTTTGGAAAGAGTTGAGTTCCCTAC